ACAGTCCATTTCGTTATTATAATTATTTATCGATTTTTATTATTAGTAGTTAAACCTAAGTTCAGTTCGTAATCGCGTAATTGAACATTAGTTAGACACTAATTTTTTAACTATGGTTAAAAAACCTATTTTAGATGACTTAAAATATCGAAGAGAAATGATGGGATTAATATTAGCAAAAGCATCTGCATAAGACCCAAGATTTTGAGAGTTAAAATTTATATCGGAAGAAGAAAAACAAACTATTTGGAAACAACTTGAAAATGAGTTGAAAGAATTAATTTCTGATCCAGAAATAGAAAATTAAGAAGAATTAATCTCTGAATCAATATAAGAATATGAAGACAATTCTGAAACACACTCTCGTAAGAAACTACGATCATTAATGATAGATAGCGATGATGATGACGAAGACGATTATTCAGTAACTCAAAGTCCTACGATAAAACAACTTGAAGAGTATAGAAATTTGAACATCAAAATTCCCTATGATCAAGATCCTTTTAAATTGGTGGAAAAAAAATGAATCTAAATACTCAGTTGTATCATAACTAGCCAAAAAATACTTAAATATAGAAGTATAGTGGCCACTAGTGTTCCCTGTGAACGGTTATTTAGCGAAGCTGGAACAATCATATCCAAGAAAAGAAATAGATTACCTCTTGAGCGACTCAATCAACTGTTATTTTTGAATTAATTTTTCAAATCGAAACCAAGTTCTAAAGCATTGACAGAAAAACTGCTTGAAAAAGAAATTTTTTGATTAAATATATTGGATACTTTTCAGATAGTACAAAATAATTTATAACAGTTAAATAATTTACACTCATAATATATTAATATCATATGTATTCTATAGTGCTTTCAATAAACTAAATTATATAAAATGTAACTTGTTGTTATGTTGTTATTTAAATCGATATCGATAATTAAAAATTTATCGTTGGCCAACACTAAAAAATAATAAATAATATTTTACTTACAATACGTACTTCTTGATTATTATCTTCCACAATAATGAATGAATGTTCATTTTCAGTTTTTTCCTAAAATAAAAATAAAATAAAATATTTATCATTTATACTTGTTATTAAATTTAAATATACAAACCTTCTTAACTCCTTTCTTATTCTTTATTTTTTCTTTTTTTTTAGACCTAAAAACAAGAAATTAATTAATTATAATTATATCATACAATATTAGGAATATACTAATACCAATAAGGCATGTATTTTTAAATTTAACTTCTACGTCAATTCTTTAATGTAATAATTAATAATTAAAAGTACTAGGATGTTTTACGCAAATTATCAAAATTAGATTCAAATGATTCAGGGGAATATTTCGTTGCTCTTTCATTCATACCAAGGCTAATATCAAATTTTCAGAAACACTAACAAAAATTATAATTTTATGTCAAATTTATCAAGCTTATATAAAATTGAAGTATAACTGTTAGAAGTTATAAAAAGTTTTAAAAAAATAATATAAGAATTTCAGTTTAAAAGTATGATATAATATTTAATTGAATTACTCATAATCTTTTGTAATTAAAACAAAACCGCCTGTTGTGACAAAAGCAACTAATATAATATACTGATCACAGCTCATACGAGTACATAATACAACAGAAATTCTGTTTTATAAGATATTTTAAATTTTAAATACATCATTAATTATGACATATAATAGTAAATATATCATATAATATGCACTAAAAATAACTTTTTTTTTTAATAAACATATTTTTTAATTTTATTATTTTTAAAACCATTCAATAATTATGAAGTAATATGTTATGCAAAAATAAAAGAAAAAAAGAAAACCACGTTGAATTTAAATGGCATCAATTTAGAGCATACTAAAGCTTTTTGAAATTATGATAAAAATCCTACGATATTGCTATGAAAGGATATGACCAAAAAAAATTAAATTATGATACAACAAAATAATCATTCTTGAAACACTTAATAAACTAATATACATTTAAATCCTTACAAAAATATAAAATCTTCATCATCTTCTGATATTTTTGAAGTATTACTTAATGTAACAATCTCTGAAAATTAATTAATTAAATAAATAAAAATGTAAATAAACACGTAACTATAAAATATAACCAATAAAAAAATTAGTGTTACATTTGATACAAATATTGATCAGTTGAAAAAATTTTACGTGAAGTAGATAAATTCACACAAGCTCATCCATACATAATATATATTCAACATAAATTTAGGGAAAAATTGCAAAAGTACATACTTTTATTTTTAACATGAATTTCTTTTTTATGATCATTCAAAGTCTCAAGGTGTTCAAAAGACATTCTGCAGTCATTGCATTCATATTTTTTACTGATGTGCATACCATCGTCATGGAGAACAATAGTTTCATTTTCTATATTTCCATTATAGGTGGATATTCGTTTTCGTTTTTTTTTTTGGGGTGATATTACCGAATTATCTTCCTAAAAAAAGTCTTATAAATAATTAAAGAAGTAAATTTTATATTTGTATTTGTAAAAATTATGTATTTTAATTATGCATTTTAATATCATAATTGATTATTAAAGATCAGTAACCATTCACTTATTATATATTATGATCTAACAATGTTTCCCAATTGGTGGTCCGTGGACCCCCAGGGATCCGTGTGGTAATTTTAGGGGTTCACAGTTGTGTAGTACTGTAATGATTTTTTTTTATTTAATTTTAGTGAAAATAATATTTAAATATATATTTAAAAATATTACAAAAAAGTTTATCAAATTACAATAAATCATAATTTTTTTTTTCATAATTAAATAAAATTAAAAAGTAAGCATTTACAAAAAAGAGGTCCCCCGGCAAATTTATGTTATAATTAGAGGTCCGTGGCTTCAGACTAATTGGGAACCACTGATCTATGATATCGGTGCGCAAACTTTTTTGGTCCATGGCCCGTAAATTAATTTATTTCGATGAAGCAACCATTTCTATCATCATGATATAAATGTAAAGTATACACTAACTTAGTATAGGTATACAAAAACTTTATTTAAATGAATTTATATGAATCATAAATCTTAAGTAATTAAAATATTTCTTAAATTTAATCCAGATCATAAAAAAAATAACAAAATTTAAGTTCTATAAAATAGTCAACATAATATAAATATTTCTCATTTGGTGTTAAATTATTGACGAACCCCGGGTTAAGCACCACTGAATAATTATTTTGACCATCTGAACAGTTTATTCTGTATATTAAGTGTATTCATCATATGCTTGCGCAGGGGGTGCATCTTTTTATGAGTCATTTCTTAATGTTTTTAATATAATAAATTTCCGAGCGCTACTTATTAGAAATTCTTCTTAAATATTTAAGATGTAATCAAATAAATATTAAATATTTAAACCCGCTCCCTAAAGGCAAAAAAAAAAGAAAATTGTTTTATTATTGATGACGTGTAATATAATCGTAGTTTAATTATTACGCTTAGAACTTAAAATATACAACTATACAAATATTATGATAATTAAATAATTATATTGATAGGTGTTTGAAAACTTTTATTAACTATACTGTTTTTCTATTCCAATAGCTATTAATTTACTATAATGTAAAAGTAAACTGTAAATTGGTCAAAAATTTGTATAAAATAATATCTATTTATAGCAGTTATTTATCTGTGCAACGAAAAAAAAAAAGATAACGGTTATTTTTGTCAAACACCCCCCAGAGCAAGATTGAATGCACGCCACTGACTGAAGCTATTATTATTTTTACATAATATAATGTCAAATTTATTATAACTGATAACTTAAGATTATATAAGTTATTAGCTAAAATAAAAATGGTCTTTCTATAATATTAATTTTGTACTATATATTTTATGTCAATAAAAATAATAAAAATAATAAGATATCCATTGTCTAGGCCAAGGATGGCAAACCTTTTGAATACTGCGTGCCTAAAGTTACCTTTTTTCCCTTTTTTTTATAGAGCATGCCATAAAAAAAATATTAAAAATATTATATTTTGTTATATTAAAATTTGATAGTATAATTAATGAATTAGTATAAAAAGATTATTTTAGGTACATAATAATAATAATAATATAATAAATAATAATAATAATATATAATGAATAATAATAATAATTATAATAATAAATAGATAATTATGTTCCACATAATTTGAATCTCTATATTTTCAAAAACAAAACTTTTGTTTATTTCGTATATGAGAGTAAATTACCCATTGCTGCAAACAATATTACGCACATACAGTAGAAACCGTTTATAATGACACCGGTTGTAGTGACATATTGGGTGTAATGACTTTATATTAAAGGTCCCTGCAAAACTCCTATATTGTATGTACTAATGTGTATCGCTTATTATGACATCTATATAATGATTATACGGATGTTGTGATGGTTCCTTTTGGTTATATTGAAAAAATATTTTATCTATAATGACTTTACTTCATCGAAGGTACTATTACAATATTGATAATACCGTTATTATTTCATCGTTATTTAGTCGTCAGTTTTATTTTATTTTATTTTACCGTCAGTGTACTGGTAATCGGCATGCGGTTAAATGTGTTTTGTGTTCGTGTGTTAAATTGTATTGTGAAATTGTAAAATGAGCAAACGAAAACAATTCACCATCGAAGAAAAAGCAAATGTCATTTTTCATTTAAAAAAAGGTGAAAAAAATTCCGACATGGCTAATGAGTTAGGCGTAGGTCACTCTACAATTTCTATCATATGGAAAGCTCGAGACAAAATCGAACAAGAGTTTCAAAATGAAAAATTATCAGTTAAGAAACTTAGAAATTGTACACATACAGATTTAGAGAATATTTTATTACGATGGTTTAAAAATCAAAGAAATCTATGCATTCCAATTAATGGATCAATTTTTCAACAGAAAACCAATGAATTAGCTGAAGGCCTCGGTAAGCATAATTTTAATTGTTGGACTGATTGGATTCAAAGATTTAGAGCGAGGCATAATATTGTGTTTTCTACAATAAACGGAAAATCAAAGTCTGTCAATACTAAAATAACAAAAAATTGGCTCGAAAAAGTATGGCCTAAATTACGAGAAGGATACACAGATGACCAAATTTATAATGCAGATAAGACTGGACGTTTTTACAGAATGCTTCCTAACAGAACATTAAAATTTAAAGGAGAAAAATGTTCAACCGGTAAAATGTCCAAAGAACGTCTGACTGTCTTAGTTTCAGCAAGTATAACTGGTAAAACAATGAAACTTATCATAATTGGAAAATCCCGTAATCCACAATGATTCAAACACATCAAAAGTGACTGTTTACCGGTAACATATAAATCTAACTCCAAAGCTTGGATGACTGCAGAATTATGGTCTAAAATTTTATTAAATTGGGATTTAGAGTTAGGAAGAAAAAAAGAAAAAATTTTACTCATAGTTGACAACTATCCAGCACATTGCACTGTAACATTACACAATATTAAACTTGCATTTTTACCCAGTAATTGTACGTATGTTCTTCAACCAATGGATCAAAGCGTAATAAAATGTATGAAAACTTATTTTCGAAAATGTTTGGTACTAAATATGATTAATAATATTGAAAACAAATTTGTAGCGAATTAGATGCTATATTAATGATTTTAAAGGCTTGGCAAAAAGTATCAGATATTACAATTCGAAATTGTTTTTGTCACGGTAGTTTCAATAATACAATACCACAACAAATTGTCCAAGGAGAACAAGAAGAACACATAAGTTTCCCAAACATAAATGAATATGTTAACTTTGATAATGATGTGCTAACTTCAGAACCATTAAGTGATCAAGAACTTATTTCTCCATTGATTAACCTACCCGAAGAACCTGAAAAATACGACAATACAGATGAAGGTGATGAAGATGAAGAAGCTGATTTATCTATCAATGCAGTGTTCATTGCAGCTAAGATGTTAGCAAATTATATGGCTCTGAATAACGTAAGTCCAAAGATAAATTTTGAAGAACTAGAAAAAAAATAGAGCATGATTTTTATACTAACAAAGTTCAATCTAAAATAACAGATTTCTTTAAATAATAATTGAACTAATTAATTTAAATATGTATGTACATAATTAAATGTTTTTATCTTTAATTTTTTCTATATTATACATTGCATAAATAAATAATAATAATATGTATTGAAGTAACAATTTTTTTCCGTCATTTTAGTTATAATGACAACCGGTTATTATGACCTACTTTCTTTGGTCCCTTAAACGTCATTATAAACAGTTTTTACTGTATATCAGGCATAAAATTATACACAGATAAGATTTTTATTATGTCTTATCAAGGAGCTTCTATCTGAAAACGATCTACCACAAAAATCACACACATAAGGTTTTTCGCCGGTATGTATTCTGTAATGTGTTGTCAAATTACATTTCAATGAAAACAATCTACCACAAAAATCACACACATAAGGTTTTTCGCCGGTATGTATTCTGTAATGTGTTGTCAAATTACATTTCAATGAAAACAATCTACCACAAAA